GGTACCTCCAGAGTCAGTTATCTATCCTGCATTGGGATGAAATGAATCCACGTACCAAGGTGCCTTTCTCTGTCTTGGTAATACAGGGAGCTCAGGGTGATTTTCTCAGACTGACCACCTAAGCCTGAACAGATAAATCCCACCCAAGGGTCTGTTTATAACTAGCCTCAGCTTGAGGTCTGTATCTAAACAAAATTGTTCTGATAAATAGGCATCTGCTAATGCCAGCTGTGCTCTGTCTTGTGGTTCACTTTTTGAGGTGTCATACTTGCAGCGTTGGGAGGAACTGGGCAACAGTCTTAGGCAGCTTCCCATTTTTTTTAGAACCTCCTTTAAAAATAGCTGTCACTTATCTAATGTGTGAGAAAAGGGGGACAAAAGCTGTTTCTGCTCTGTGTTTCTTCTCCTCAGTAGGATGCTGTGGCAACCAAAAGCAAACATTTTTCCTGTCCACTTGCCCTCTGGGATGGTGCTGTTGGTCATCTGTCCTTTCTCTGTCAGACCTCTGGTTTTTCACTTTTGCTTTGTGTTTTTCCAACTAGTGATCTACATTCTAAGTCTCCTATCTTGTCTTTCTCTTCCTCTAGCCTCATAAACTGCTTTGCTTAGATTTTGTCTTCTGTCTGGGCATTCCTGATCTGACCCTGTGTTTATACATGAGTCCATTGTGGGACATGAAAACAGAAAGCAGGGAAGGGAGAACACTAATTTTTCCCCTTTTTAATCTAGTGTCCTACCACACTAAGCTTGAGCTGGCTTCATCATCAGGCTTCTTCCCTGCTTCCTTCCATCCTTTAATGTGGCATGCCTGAGTGCATTCTAATTTCACTGTGTCCACCCAATATTAGCAATTACTCTCCTGGGGAACTGGAGCTGTGGGTTCAAATCCTTTTAAGTTAAGGATGTTCCACAGCTGGTACTTCACACTTTTTGGATCAATACTTGAGTGGCATTTCTGTTGTGCAAAAGGCAGGTGCCACTGCTGCCATGGCTGGGATAATCAGATGGGGCCTTGATAGTCCTTTCTGCCTGTTCTCTACGCCTCCAAAAATGTAGCTGCAGGACTTGGACCACCCTCCCCATGCTGAGTTTGCCTTTTGAGCCTGTCCAGTGCCCTCAAGAAAACAACTCTCAGGCCCCCCTAGGAAAACTTCCAAGCACCTGGAGAGTGATAATGTGTTGGAAAGCATAAGTTGCTTGAATGGGCATTAACCACTTAAATACTGCACAAATACCCCAACTTCTGCAACCAGTCCTAAGCCTCTGTGGATGAGAAGGGAAGAAAAGCAATGCCTTAAAGCTTCATAAATAAAATTACAAATGCATACGTGCATAATATATATTTATTCATGTAAATAAAAGTACGCTGCAACATTCTTCACATTATTCACTGTTTCATGGTGAATCCTTGGTGTTTTATTTCCTACAGAAATAAAACTGTGTGTGGGGATAGCATCAGGTACTCATGTAAATGCTTTATGGGAATGGGGGTGAACTGAGATGGTTTAGACACAGGTTTTAGAAGAACTGACACCTACATTTGAACCCTGGTAAGTTTTTTGTTGGTGGTGTTTTTGTTTCTGTGGTGGTTTTGTGGGGTTTTTTTGTGGTGGTTTTTTTTTTTTTGGCATTTTGGGGAGGTAAAGAATACTGAAAATTTGATCTGACATATATTAAGGATGACATCCAAAACTGCAGACTGTTTTTGTAAACTATAGCTGCAAACAGCAGAGATCTTGTAATCTAGTAGGGACTTCGATTAAAACATTGCAGGAGAAATTCTCTTTAGTTGTATCTGACCAACATTTTACATAAAGATAAAATTCTACTTGAGCATTATTATCTACTGACTGAAAAGCCATAGAGAACTATTGTGAAAGATTTGGCACCTGGGTCCCTTCTCCCTCTAGTTAAAGGTTTTGAAAACATACTTGCCCCCTTCTGGCATTATTTTGATCTTACCCTGAAGCCCTGATTTTATATTTTTAACACAGATTACAGTAAGTTAATTCTAACATGAATTCATTGACTTCAGCAGAACAACATCAGGAAAAATTTGTCCCAATTTTTACAAACATTCTTCATGATGAAAAGTGAGACTACTATTCCTACATATGTCAAAGACATCTACGTTGTACAGGCAGAACTAACAGTCCCTTATACCTCACAAATATTGACTGAGGAAATGGCTCTATTGTGCCAGAATTAAGTGTACTTTGGGGAGTAACCAAAGACTTCCTATCAGTTAGGTTTTTAGGTAATGCTAGACTCACTCTTTTGTCCTCTGCAACAAACGCTGCTCTTCAGCATCATCAGGACCTGAAACGTGTTATATCTCTGCTTTATACTACTCCATGCTCCATAGATTTCACAGAGACTTGGTAACTGCAGCAGTTATGGTCCTCTTTTTTGCAATTCTACAGTATTAATATTTAGGGATTTTTTTTTTCAGTCTTTCAAGTCCATTGCTTAAACTTTTAAATCAACATGTAGAATTTAACTTGAGAGCATTGCAATGTTACGATAATGATCATTGTTTAAACAGCTTTGTAACTGATTCTGATTTTTATAGTCTAGCTAGGTGGTGAACTCTTGATTACCCAAGGTAACGCACAAGGGAGCTGGGAGGACAAATGAGAAAACGCTTAGATAAAGTAAAAGCATAGCTACACAAAACATCGGTAGGTTAGGATGATCAGCAAGGCTGTAATGGAGAAAGAAGAGGTCAGTGACACAAGTTTCATCTCTAGTGTGAAAGGCGTCTTCCCCAGGGAAGGATCTGCAGCCCTTGGGCCAAGGGGTGAAAAGCAGCTTGTGTGAACAGCACTGGAGGCTTGTCCCTTCTGCCTCTCACCGCTTCCCCCAGAAACCTATCCCTAGTCTGTGCTGAGTGCTGATGGTACCCTTGTATCCTGGGACTTAATTTAATTTAAATCATCTGTTCAAAATGTTTGAAATAGCATGAGGTCTGTGTCACAGCCTGCTATTTCACTGGCGTGATTTTGGGGGCATGTGTTGCATCTGCTAGAATGTGGCTTAGGGCCTGCCACGGTGCTTGAGGACAGACAAGCTGCCCGATTGTTCTGGGAGGTGTCGGGACATGAATGATGAGGGCTTGAAAAGTCAGGGGAGTGAAAACCCTTGAAAGTTATTGCTATGTCTGTAGTGCTGACTCAAACCTGCTTGGGAAAGTCACCAAATGTGGCTGTGGCTCTGCATATTTATGTGTGTGTCTGTACTAGGAACATACTTAATTCACAATAAAGATAATTCAGCTCAGATACCTGAGAATAAAGTATAGTTTTAAAAATAACAACAAAAAATCATAATAAGAATGAAAACAACTCAGTAATAGTGAAATAAAACAAGCTCAACGATCCCATAGGATTATACAGAGGATTAGAGTTACTCCATAACTGTTGGCTGGCTGAGCACTAATGCCAGCAAGCATCGTTTGCCTTCTGCATTTTTCAGCCATTTGGTTTCAACTGGGCAGATATCCGTGTTGTTGATTCTAAATCCAAAATGTAACGAGCTGCTGACCCTTGTGGAGCAGCCACTGGCAGATACAGGAACTCCATGCATGAGGCATTTGCTGGCTGAAGTGATCTCCAAGTTTTCGATCCATTGTTGGGAAGGAAGTGTGGGAGCTCAAGGAGTGCTAGAGGCCAGCTGGCCTGGCCAGTCCTGCAGCAGTTTTGAGCAAACCTGTGGGGCCTTGGGGATTCTCCGATGGTCTCTCAAGGACTTGTCACTTGAAGCTTGGCTTGTAAAGCCTCTTCTCTCTTGTCAAGTGAGGTAGATTTCCTAAAGCTGATAGGTCTCAAAAGTTGTTTGGAAATTGTTGTGCTGTTTGCATTGATGTGTTTTCATTCCTAATGGAAATAAAGGCATTTTACTAACTTTTTTTTTTTTAAGTAAATGCTGCCTTTTCCTCCTCTTCTAATTTTGTTTTTCAGTGCTTTCAGCTTACACTGATTTAATGGCCGCTGTTATAAGTGCTGCAAATTAAACTTCTGACCCCTGCATAGACAGTGAGAAAACATTCATACTTTTATAAATGCTGAACATCTCTAGGTTTCTCTCTGGCATTGGTTTTACCGATGCTGAAGATACTCCAAATACTGAGACCAAGATAGCATTTGAAAAAACAGGCTGGTACCTTTTCCTAAGGACCACTTTCAGTGGGGCTTGGTTTTCTAAACGCCTTTATGAATCTGGGTCTGAAAGGACTTGAAGGTAGGTCGGAAAGGCAAGGAATTTTTGGCGATTTTAAAATGAAAGATGCTGCTGTGGCATATACCTGGATATCAAACTCTTATTTCAATCATATGAGGCAGTTTTAGCTGCAGGAGAGGTTTCTTTTGAAAGCAGGAAAAGGTGGAGAAAGTGATATCCAAAGTGCTTTTGGTTTTATTTCTGCTACTAATGTGTCCCTTTACTGCAGATGCAGACTCTATAAAGTATTTAATCTGCAACCTCTTCAGAGATTTCTTCTGTTAGTGACTCTTCTCAGACCAAGGTAATTTCCCTGAGCATTTGTACAGATCTGGGTGTTGTGACCTGACTGTCACTAAAGAAGCTCATTTTTCTAGAACAAGTCCGTTTTCTCTGTGAGCTGACCTAACACAAAATTTTGTGAGGTGTATCTCCTCTGTCACTGAGGCTTGTAAGCCCAGCAGCAGGTAGTGGGGAATGTGCTGAAGCTTCATTGGAGGTTTTGTTTTCCCCAGAAAATCCTTCATATCTGGCTGCTGAGCAGAGCTAACAAGCAGCCTTGACAGTTCTCTACTTCTCAGTGTCTGTCTCATCTCTGAGCTGTGTAGGAGTTTGCAAAGGCAGATTAATATTTAACATACCTGGAGTCTTTGATCTTTCAATTGGAGTCTGAATACATCTAAATCCTCATAAAATGCAGACAGAGGAGATGATGCTGCCTTTTATTCACTGATGCAGAGACTGGAGCACCCTCCTAATTTCAATTCCTTCTTCCATCTCAGGCTGTTTAATTCTGCTCTCCAGCTTGTCTGTCAAGAAACCTTATCACCAGTCTGCTGGGTGCTCATGCTGAAACTGCCTAATTTCCAGGCTTTCAGCTGTGTATCTGAACCACTTGGCTTGAAAGCCTCTCTGTCTGATCTTCTGAATCCTGAAGTGCCCCTGCTACAAGAAAAAGGTGGGATGCCCTTCCTAGGATGTCCTGCATGCTGGTGACCAGGTGCTCTTCTGGGCTGTGGGGTGGGAGCTGCAGGCTGAGGCAGGTAGGACCCACATCCTCTGTTTGCTCAGCCCACAAATCCTTTCTCTCAAGGGTGGCTGCTGCTGAGGGTTAAACACCTACATTCAAGTGTCTGGAAGAGCCTTCCAGGCATGAGTCTCTGGCATATCCTCCTGGCTGGCTGTTGCAACCACAACTCACTGGTTTTCCTATAGGGAGCACTGGTCCCTAGCTTGGCATTACGAAGGCTGTTCCTGCTATGGACTCCCTCACTTTCTAGTCAACCAGCGCTAACTGAATAGTTATGCCAAGACTGACTAAATGCCAAGACTGACCTTAGAAACCTTTGAAGGTCTGGTGAAACACCCTTCTCCTCAACCTTTTTTACTGGCTATTTTTTGTTGCTCTCTCTTTTACTTGCTGTTGGTTGTGAATCAGAGGATTCACCTCTTGAAAAAAGAGGTAGGACTGTCCACGGTGGATACAGTGAGCTTCTCTAGGCTGCTAGATACACCAAGATGCAGTGCCTTGTACTCTGGGATTAGGAGTCTTCTCCTGGGGAGATGTAGCCAGATTCGAGCTTAATGTATGTAAAGTAATTTTAGTATGCACATGAAAGTATTTTGGAGGAAAGTGCTCTCACAGAGGTTGATACTTCAAAACTATATCAAGACTGTGTTCAAATAATTTGTATAACCTTAGAAAATAGCTGTAAAGTGGCCAGCAGCCTGACTTGATTTCTAGTAATTCTGACTGGCCCTGTGCATAGGCAAGAGAGTGCCAGCCTCAGAACAGCAGAGGACAGCAACACAGCAAATATTTTCCTGCTGGTTTTGTCTGTCAGAGCCTTGAGGAGCTGACCTGGTTGCTCCTTCTCCATGGCATCCAAATTTCCATTACTTTCCCCTTTCCTCCCCAGCTATTGCTGTTCCCTTTATCATAGAATCATGGAAAGGCTTGGGTTGGAAGGGACCTTAAAGATCTTCCAATTCCAATCCCCCTGCCATGGGCAGAGACATCTTCCACTAGACCTGGTTGTTCAGGGCTCCATGCAACCTGGCCTCGAACACTTCCAGGGATGGGGCATCCACAGCTTCTGTGGGCAACCTGTTCCAGTGCCTCACCACCCTCACAGTAAAGGATTTCTTCCTAGCATTTAATCTAAATCTCTCCTCTTTCAGTTTAAAGCCATTCTCCTTTGTCCTATTGCTGTCTGCTTGTGTAAAAAGTCACTCTCCTTCTTTTTTTCATAAGACCATTTTAAGTACTGGAAGGCCACAATGAGGTCTCCCAAGAGCATTCTCCTCTCCAGGCTGAACAGCCTATCTTCATAGGAGAGGTGCCATTTCTCTGATCATATTTGTGACCCTCCTCTGGATCCACTCTAATGGGCCATGCCTGATTTTGAGGTATGCCCTCTCCTCTACCTCTGGTTCCTCATGATTGAGTGACAAAAGTCAATTTTGCCTGCACTCTTGAGAAGCCTTGAGTGATATTGCTGCAATTGTGACAAAACTTATCATGACCTAAATATATGAACAGCAGTTCCACAGTCTTCTGGATATTTTTTCAGATTGACAAAGCTTGTCTATGAAGCAGTTCATGCCTGGCCCCTGCAATTAATTTCCCGTTTGTGGAAATCTCCAGATTTCCGTGTTCCTCCCTTGCCCCATGGGAGGATTACCCAGCACCCGAGATTTTCCCTAGCATTTCCTGCCCCACTGTAGCTCACTAGATTATGACTGTATTGAGGTCTCTTGACCTTAGAGCTCTTCCCAGGTCCAAGCATAGACACCACCTTTTTAAGGCATGGGCCTTTAGCTGCAGCTCTCTCTCCTTTGGAAGGAAAGATGGGGAAAAGATTTGGGTCAAAAGGGGCTCACAAGTCTTTGCCCCAGATCTGGATGATCAGTGAGAGCTTAGGGGTGTATTGTGGAGTCCCCCTTCTCTGCAGTGTGGGTGGGTGTAGCTTCAGATGGTGTAGCAAGGGTGTTGTGAGGCAGAAAAACTTGACCTGGGACTCATGCCATACCCTCCACACATGAGAAGGGAGACAAAATCTGCTCCCATCAGACCCCCTTTCTGCAGTCTCCTAGGAGATAATGGAAGTACAAACTAGACAGTAATTCAGAGGAACAATTTATTCCTGCAACTTCAAAGTCATCTACATGGTCTTGCTGCTAAGATATCTGTTATGCTGTTTAATACCTTCAGATCATCCCAAAATTAACAGTTCCACCGTCCTAGACCCCAAATATGTTAAATCATACAGACCCATGTACTGGTCCCATACCTGTACCTAATCTTACTTGACTTATTTTTGAAGAGATTCAGGGAGAGGAGAGTAATATAGCTCTAGATATAAAATGCACATGTCTGTATTGTAGCTATAAAAGATGATATACAGGTACTTCCTCTTGAAACCCTGATATGACTTTCAGCTTATTTGTGTAATACAGAGTTTTAGTGAAAGAAGGACTGGAAAAACATACCAGAAGTACATAAATAACACTTTTATGAAAGTATTTCTACAGGCCCCCTAACTACTGTCTTTTGATGGTCCTTTCACACAAACTCCATTTCTGTGCTGTTATTTTCTGAGACATCTCTTCACAGCCTAATTTCAGGCAATCCATTCACTTGTAGGCTTAGACAAGGGGATGTTTCAAAGGTGATTCTCTTCAGGAGTTATTGAAGACCGATGTAACTTCATTGCATGATACAGTGAAATATTACCTGCTTTCCACTCTCAATGACTTACATGAGGGCTATTGCATCAGACAATTTGCTGGGCATAATTCCAGTGCTCAGGTAGATTGGAAGTGAAGTTTCAGGCATTGAAGTAGGTCTCATCTTCTACTGACTTGCCTCTTTAGAGTGGTATCCACTCTTTCTAAGTGGGAACTTAGTACTAACATCTTTTAGTGCAAGGCCAGGTGTCCAGGAAGGCCAATGGCATCCTGGCTTGTATCAGCAATAGTGTGGCCAGCAGGACCAGTGCAGTGATTGTATCCCTGTACTTCCCACACCTCAAATCTTGGGTTCAGTTTTGGGCCTCTCACTACAAGAAAGCCATTGAGATGCTGGAGGGTGTCCAGAAAAGGACAATGGAGCTGGTGAAGGGTCTGAGCACAAAGTCCTGTGAGAAACAGCTGAGGGAGCTGGGATTGTTTAGACAGAAGAAAAGGAGGCTGAAGGGAGACCTTATGGCTCTCTACAACTACCTGAAAGGAGTTTGTAGTAGAGTGGGGGATGATCTTTCCTCCCAAATAACAAGCAATAGGATGAGAGGAAATGGCCTCAAGTTGTGCCAGGGGAGGCTTAAATCGGATATTAGGAAAAATTTCTTTGTGGAAAGGTTGTCAGCCATTGGAACAGGCTGCTCAGGGAAGTGGTTGAGTCACCATGCCTGGACATATTTCAAAGATATGTACATGTGGCACTTAAGGATATGGTTTAGTAGTGGACTTGGCATTGCTGATTAATGGCTGGACTTGATGATCTTAGAAGTCTTTTCTGGTCTAAACAATTCTATGATTCTAAGCCCATATACTGTATTTTTTCCGTTCACCTTTCCAGATCCCTGTTTCTAATGAGAAACCCGAACATACAATTGTCCATTATTAGCATTGCTTAATCTCCTTGTTAACTAAATTTCTTCTGAGCTTTATCTCACCCAGTCTAATGGCAAAACAAACTGCTAAATGTGCTGCTGCAAGTTGCATGTGTGTCTGAGGAACACACAAACTGCTTGGAGGAGCTGCATGTGTTCTTCCCATGCTGTGTGGATTGTGGCATGCAAAAATACGTTGTGTTAGTAGAAGGATGCTGCATGTGTTCAGAAACTGTTGAGAGTCTTTGGAATTCTTATAACTGTTTACTCATTCTTTTGTTTAGGAGTCAGTGACCTGTAAGTGCTCATTATGAAGAGAGATCTGGTTTTCTTGGTGACTCTAATTAGCCTTGCCTTCCTGTCACTACTAAGGTCTGGATATCCTCAACACATTGCAGAGGAGTCCTGCTCTGTTCAGATTCTTGTTCCAGGCCTCAAAGGTAATGTGAAAGCCTTCTCCATTATTCAAATATTAATCTTTTTCTTCTAACAGGCTCATTTACACCACCGAGAGTTTCTAACAGAGACAAAGAAGGTGCCTTTCAGTTGCCCTCTTATTTGTTCCATTTGTAGCCTCCTTAAAAATGGAGTTTTAAGGTCCATAAGGTGAAATTAAATCTGTTAAAATAAACATGGTTCAGAGAATGCATACGAATCTCCCAAATTTACTCCTGATCAGCAGTGCTTGTTACTCTGATACACTACCTGGTTGCTCTCTCTGGGTTTATACTCAACAGTGGTACACACTGCCAAAGATTGCAAAATCAGGCCCTACTTTATTATACCTGGAGAGGTTTTAATTTCCGTGTTGCAATGTAATGTGAAGTATTTTGTGTTTTCTAGTATTTTGTTTGTATTCTCTTGATTTTTAAAAGCTCTAACACTTTTAGAAGAAAGAAAACAGTAGTTAGGTTTTTGGCATTTCTATAGTTTTTGTGGAAAAAGACAACATTTTAATAAAATATACCCCTAAACTATTGCCCAAAGAAGATGGTGTAATAAGTTATTGATCTTTTCATAGCAAAAATATACCTTACATAAGAAATCAACCAGTGGGAAGAATTAGCATTTTAAAGCAACAGCATCCATTACAGTGTGAAATTCCAGCCCTGTTTAGTCAATAACAGTAATTTCCCTTGTGAAGGCTATAGTATTTCTATTGGAATTTAGCACCTATGAATGTGGGAAAGTACTTGTTAACTAAGGAAAAAAAACCATAAATCCTACTAGTTTATCCTTAAGAATATATCAAAAAAACATTGTTTAAGAACCATGCAATGAACCTTCCATTTTCTTCTTGTAATTTTGCCTTGTACTACCACAAAACTCACCTAATCAGGAGCGATGCTATTAATCTTTTCTGGTACAAACCTGGGCTTTACCCAGTTGCCTGAGGAACATAGTATGAGCTGCAGGCACTGTCTGTTCTGGTTACCTGATTGGTAAGAGAAGGCTCACTTCTGTTCTGCAGTTTTTCATATAGTTAAATTGTGAGCACAGCCTGGCCATAGATTTGGCTGTAGTGTAAACTGCCCTCTCTAGACATTGCCCAATTTGTGTATTGCTGCCCTGTGCTTGAAGCAAGAGAATTGGGCTGTAGGGTGAAGGTTCTGCTTGGCCAATTGGCTTTAGGAATAAAAAAGCCCTTTGTTTATTCATTATTATTTATTGTTGTTTTGTTTATTATTATAGATGCAGTTTTGGATGCCTGAACTCAACCAAAAGCTATTTTTTTCTATTTACTTCAATAAGTGACTTTTGAAGTCTTAATAGTATTTAGACCTTCTGCAGATGTCCTACTTATAAAGGACAACACTATATCCTCAATTCTGAGGTTTGATTAAGACTTGAGTAATTTGTTTATTATGTTTACTGTGGAAAAGGCACAAGACAGTGCTGTTAATGTGACTACAGTGGAGAACACAAGCTAGTTAAATATATGTTGTCCAAAATTACATGAAAGATCAGTTGAAGGGTCAGACTCCACAGCACTGGGGACTGAAGCTTTGAAATGACTTTTCATTTCAAAGAAGTTGACAGGCTTGGACAAGTTTTGTGACCCCTTTGCCTTAGTTTCCTTATTTGTGTAATCAGTCAAAATTAACATCTATGATTATCATTTTAGTGCAAGGATCATTATTATTATTATTACACACAGCAGAGGTTTTTAAAGTGTATAAATGGTACAGGACCCTGACCCTTTGGCAAAAGGCAATTCTGAACCTAGAAAGCAGAAACAGGCCTGAAAACCATCATATGTTAATGATTTCACTCCATTTCATGAGATGTAAGCCTTGCAAAATTGAGAGAGATTGATGTACAAATTCAGTGAAGCACAAAATGGCCTGATACAGCCCTAGTTAATGTGAAATCCCCAAAAAGCTCTCAATGCTCCAGCTACGCTGTCAGAGGGACTGGCTGAGAGAAGTGACAATGCTGTCCCCCACTGGCACAACTCCAACCCATTTCGGTGGCCAAGGCTTCCTATAAACTGAGCAGATGTTGGCTATGTGCCCAAATTTCAGCTCCCATGCGGTGGGATTTGTTCACTGCAGCTTTTAGATCTGCGCCATCTCCTCCTCAGCTGGAGTGCCAGCAACATCTCCAATGGTGGGGGAACAGAGCACCATTCTGCTGCTGGGCATGACACTGTCAGGATTTGGGAAAAATAGGTACAGGGAAGAAATGGAAGAAATTAGGGAGACCATGGGATATGAGAATGGCAGAAGATAGAAGCTGAAGAAGTGGTGCAGAAAGTGGAGCCCAAATGGGGTGGTGAAGGATAAAGTAGTCAGGGAAAAGTACCCCAAAACACGGGGAATTTTAGAAGAACAGAAAGAGATACAGGGGAAAAAAACCCCTAAACAAACAAAAAACCAGAAGAGCAGAAAGAATGAGACCAAATGAAAAGACTGGAAACTCGGAAAAAAAAAAGACACAAAATCAATTAAGAGCCCACAGAAAAAAAGAGAGAATCAGAAGGGGCATGAGATGAGAATGGAGGTGGAAATGGATGATGAAGAAAACCAGTAAAGACATCAAGACTAGAAAAAGCACAAATGAGTTTAAGGTCAGCAGTTCAGGTCTTAGGGACTAGGTTTGGTTTTTATTCGTGCGTTGTTTGTTTTTTTTTTTTTTTATAAACTCGAGAGTATAAAGGAATAAGATGAAATGAGGAACAGAAAAACCATGGCTCTGAGAAGGCAGACAGCAGACTGAACCATATTTTAGAAAGCTGACAATATTAATAATAGGAAAAGTGTGTTGTGTGTGAAAAGGGGATGGATGATGAAGCCTTGCTACATAGCTCACTCATATTCCTCCTTAGGTCCAGTTCTTCTTGATAGATCCATGAAATTGAAGTTACTACTATTGTGGAGAAAAAAAATAACATAGAACAATCCTTGAATGCTTAAATTCTCAGTTTGCTACCTTGTTTTGTCTCCCTTTTAGAATCTAAAGCAGTAATTGTCTTAATAGTCTGAATGACATTCAATACATAAAAAAGTTGATGATAGATAAATCAAACCAACAGTATTTTACACCCACACATGATGCATCTACTCACCCAGGGAATATGAGTAATGGAAGAAAGTTATCACCAGCCAAGAATGCTTAATAGCTCACATAGTTAATATTTGGTGTGCTATTTTCATTGCGCATAGATGGTACAGCTTAAGAGAGACAGGTTATGAACATAAGCATAGACAAATCCTGTCCCAAAGAATCCACAAAACAGGGCAAATAAACAGCAATGGTAAGATATATCACCTGAATTAAGAAAGATCTTTCCCAGAGATGATGGAAGAAGAAGACTGTAGTAGTGTCAAGGCTGTGCCTGATACCCGTGATCCTACTGCAGCTCAGTTTGGTGGCAGGGCTAAATTTCTTTCTCAGCACTGTGGAGCACTGCTAAGCACATCTCACCCTGTCTCAGCTGCACTGTGCTGATGAAGAAGGTACTGTTTTACGCAGTGGGGCTGAAGCAAAGAGACATCCAGAAAGTGATGGAGAGGAGATTGAGCAGGAGATATGACTGCAAAGGGACTGTGTCTGGCAGAAAAGGCCACAACAGAGCAATTGGGTAGGGACTGTGATGCACAGATCCCAACCTCTTGCTCTGAAGCGACTTGGTTGTAGACCAGAAGAGGCTGGAGACCAAAAAGGAGGCACAGAGGTGTCTTTCTCTAATGTATGAATCAAAAGTTAAAGTTATTGTTAATTGGTGAGATATTAAATTGATTGAAATTCCTTAACAGAAAACTGGGTTTTTGCCCATGACACCTGCACAGGCTTTGCTTCCTCAGCTTGCACAGTGCCCAGGATACATACAGCAAAAATAGGGACTTAAATGTGACAAAGCTGAGCTGGACCACTAATCAGTTCCTCTTGGCCAAGGTCTTGCTCATTGAAACACATTATAACAAAAAAGTGCAGAGTGGTCTCTAGCTGGGCCTGTAATGGGGTAATCTCCTCCCAGAGAAAGTTTCTAAAACACCCACACTAAGGAACGTGGTGCCATCTTATTATAGGAATAAATGCAGGCAAGTGTAATGGCCTGAAGCAAGAGTGATCTATTTTATTGATCCCTAATGCACAGCTTTCACTCTGAAGAACGTGTAAAGCAATAGGCTGTAATAGCCTGCTCTCAGCCTCCAGAGAGCAGAGAAAAGTCATTGTCAGGATTTATCTTTGGGAAGCAAAGAACTCATAACCAGCCCTGAGGGGTGAAAGGCAATCATACAAAGCCTATTGGTTACCTGATAATAAAAATGTGACGTTCCCAAATGTGCCAAATTATAGCCTGTTTCATACTAACAGTATTATTCACTGGGGATTATGTGAAGTTTGTCCTCATTAAGGTCAGAGAATGGCCTATTTTTGCATGTCTGAAGGCAGGGAAGATGGTCTGGAGCCTGCTGACAGCCTGAAGAATGAAAATATAACAGACGGAGGACCAAGTTCAGTTCACAGCCATCTAGGTCTACAATAAGGAGAGAGACAGAAAGAGAGCTGGAGGCTGTGTGTTTGAAACGTGCCATGTTGTGGCATGCCATCTTTCTGGCCCCTCTCTGAACCATAGCTGCCAGCTATGCCAGAGAGCAGAGCTTGTGGGGTGCATGATAACCTTTGACTTTCCTGCTGTAGTGCTCCCCTCAGCTTCCTGGAGAGCAATTAATAACTCTCCTCTACAGAAATGCAGTGGTGAGGCATCATGTGTGCTGTGCTGGCTCTGGGTTTTAGATACCGGCATCTTAATTTCTATGGGAACCATAGAACTTTCTTTTCCTTCATATAAATCTTTTTTTGTCAAGGTGGCTGTGTAAATCATTCTTTAAACTTCTGTTTGTGAAAGAAATTTTAAGTCAATGGCAAACTACAATGGTAGGGGGCAAGAGGAGCTAAGCATCCTCAAATTTTCAATGAAAGGAACCAGGAAGGAAAACATTTACAAAAACCGATGTTTAAATATGGAGACTATAATGATGCGCCATGAGCCACGTGCATGTCAGTACACTGCATAGTGGTTCATTCCTCAGAGGTTATAAGGCACAGTATACACCGAGGATATGGAGTAGGGAGTTACTCTTTCATGCTTAGAAACGATTCTTTAAATGATGGATGTAGCAATGCCTTTTTATAGGTCTGATGAATGGCATTTTCTAAAAAAAATTGAGATTATAGCTAAGCCATTTGCACTTGAGACTTAAGCATGTCCTTAGCAGGGGCTCAAAAAGTGTTTGGTGAACACAGACCCAGAAATTTATGTGCTAAGCTGGGGCCTAATTCTGAAGAGTCTACTTAAGTGAATGGTGCTGTTTTGTAGGTTGATGATACAAGTAACATCCACAAAAATAGACCTGTTGTATGAGACTTCAGCAATGTATTGACTTAGGGTTTGTCTATATTTACTCCAACTGAAGAAAATTCTGTTCTCTGTGCATCAAGTAAGGCTGTTAAATCAGATTGCATCTGCTTTTATTTTTTCACTGCAGAGAATGGCACTCTTGTCACTGCTCCTAACAGAAAATAGTCCTGGTCTAATATGATTCTTCTTTTTGTTTCCTTTTGTATCAACAGGGGAGGCTGGAGAAAAGGGGGAGAAAGGTGCTCCAGGTCGTCCAGGCAGAGTTGGACCTCCAGGAGAAAAAGGTAATTTTGTTAAAGAAAATGTTTTGAAAGTCATTCCTGACAAAATGCTGTCTTTTCTTGTGAGGTGATGATGATGGGAATCCTCTCTCCCTTTGCTGGGTGACTAAAACATCCTTGGCCATTTTTGTTTACTTTTGTTGTGGTTTAACCTCAGCTCGCAGCTCAGCCGCATGTAGCCACTCACTCTCTTCCCCCCAGTTTGGATGGGAGAGAGAATTGGAAGGGTAAAAGTGAGAAAACTCATGGGCTGAGCCATGCACAAGCAAAGCATAACAAGGAATTCATTCACCAGTTCCTATAGGCAGACAGGTGTTCAGCCATCCCCAGGAAATCAGGGCTTCATCACATGTAACAGTGACTCGGGAAGACAAACACCATCACTCTGAACAACCACCCCCCTTCCTTCTTCCCCCATCTTTATATACTGAGCACAATGCCACATGGTAGGGAATTTCTCTGGGGTCCTGGCTGTGTCCTCTCCCAGTTTCTTTTGTCCCCCCAGCCTGCTTGCTGGTTTGGTGGGATGAGGAGCAGAAAAGGCCTTAACTCTATGCACGCACTGCTCAGCAATAAAGATTACATTTCTGTGTTATCAATATTGTTTTGGTCACAAATCCAAAATATAGCACAATACCAGCTACAATGAAGAAAATTACAGTATGCAGTACATACAGTACAACTGTATGCATTCCTTTGTAGACTAAGTATTACTTTCTGGTCAAAAAGATTCATTTGGAAATAAAAAAAAAAGTCTTGAGTTTTTAGAAAGGTCTCTGTGAAGAAAGACATCATAATGTCTTCATAATTTACCTTCTGCAAATGAAAACCTCACATGAGATCAGAAGGAAAAAAATCATAAGGTTCAATTTTCTTGTTTCCTTTTTTTTTTGTGACTGTGAACACTCATTAATGAAAACCATTGAGGGAAGGCATAATAGGCAGAGATGGACATGAGTGTTTCCACATATTTTGGATCACAGTTCTGTAATATCTATGGAAAAATGGTGATAAGGCTGTGTGCATTGTAGTTCAAAAATATTTGGAGCTCTTGAGAGGAATGGTGCTCAATAGTGTTCAGTTATACAGTGGCATTGCTGTCTTGCAGGAAATGCTGTCTTTTCATGTTTGTTTTCATCCTGAAGCAAGGAAGAAATTTGACCTTCATAAGTTTTCCAGGAGGTGCGTTTTCTGAAAGGTTCACATTAAGAGTAGTCAAAACCTTTTATTTCGATATCGAAATTAAAGGTTTGATATTCCTGTCATCAGAACGATGGTGTGAGTTAGTTTTTACTGATCTGAGTTTACAATCTTCCTTTCAAGGCAATCATAGTGGTAATTTATACTTCCTTATGATAATGCATGATCTCTTGTTGTTCTTTTAGGCAATCATGGGAGTCTGATACCTGTAATTTTCCCTGGGACCAAAATCCATAGCTAGAGCTCTTCCCCCTACAATGCACTGAAAAATTTATAACTCCCATGAGATATATGTGTGTTCAGTCAGTGTACTTACCTTATGTAGGTGTACTTTCAAGGACAACTGCTAGAAAAAATATTGGAAACTAAAATTTCAGCTCTTGCAAGGTAATGCAGCATGAAGTTAAAGTATGACAGAATAATTTAGATTAAAAGGTTGTAAAGAGCTCATCTAGTCCAATCTCCTGCTTTAAACAGGGCAGACGTCAATATTAGAGTAGGTTGCTCGGGGTTTTTTTCCAGTAGACTTTTGAAAATCTCCATGGATGGAGATTCCACATCCTTTTTGATCAGTCTGTTGAACAGTTTCATCATGAAAGACCTTTTCCTTGAAGCCTACTGAAATTTTTCCTGTTGTAGCTTGTAATCATTGCATCTTGTCCTTTCTCTATGAGTCTCTGAGAACAAAATGCTGCATCTTCTCTAGAAACTGCTTGTAAGTAGTGGAAGACTGCAATTAAAGTCCCCCCTTATCTTTCTGTACTGCAAGCTAAGCAAAACCATCTTTCTCAGTTGGACTCTGGTTTGTTTCCCATGTATGAAGGCCCAGAAATCTCTGGGTCCTTTTATGCAAAGGAGTTTTTTTAGCCAGCCATTGGCCAGACTTCATCAATGCATAACAGGTGAGGAATTTAGCTGAACCCATGGTATTCCTGTCAGTGTATTTCTGTAGCGTGTCGAGCTCTTCCTGACTGGCAGCGGTGTCCTCCAGCACACCATTCCTGCCAGCATGGAGCTCATTCCTCTTCTTCCTCCTGTCACTGGTGAAGGACTGGTTCCTGAGGAATGGCATTCCTGCTGATTAGACTTTGGCAGCCTTGCAGCAGTGCCAGATAGCAGTCTCGTTGCCCTTGAATGCTTCTGGGCAGTGCCATGGACCTGTGTACATCCAGGTGAAGTAGTTCCTCACTCAATCATCCAATGCCAGGAGTGGCATGTCCTCCTCAGATCTTTGATACCAGATGTGCAGAACTGGGAGGCCAGAGAGCAGATTTTGCCAGTAGAGACAAAGAATGCACTAAGTGCCTCTGCCTTCTCAGCCTCCTTTGGCACAAGGTTGTCTTAACCTCTTGAGAACCTCTCTCATTGTGCTGTCTTGCATGTTTCTCTAGCTTGGTAGTTTGTCAAATCCCTTCAAAATGCTTTAGACCATCTGAAAAGTGGAAGTACTCTTTTTCAGTCAGGCCAACCCATGATGTAGCATTTCATTTATTTATTTTATACTGCTAAATTGGATTTATTTGGAAAATCGTTCTCATAAGGAATGCTTGATTAACTCTAATAGTAATGATAGTTTTCCAGTTTTCCATACCTCCAAAAGTCCAAAATTTTTATGAGATTAAAAGAAGGAACACTGAAGTGGAAATATACTGCAAGAAAACACACTTTCAACAGAAAAGAGATGAGAAAAATCAAATATTAATGCATACTGTATTGGTATTTTTCCAAGATTTGCTTTCAGTTAAACACAGGCAAAATTTCTTACTACACCTGTAGCAACATATTTTTTCAGCTTTCCTTTATGCATCCAGAAATGTTTACAAACAAGGTCTTGTTTTAAATAATTTCTAATTAACTAGTTTTTCATTAATGCTGTACATTATCAGAATCACATTCATGTTTTTTTTCTGTTACCTTTCTTTGTTTCATTTTACTAGCAAGTTCATATAAGAAAATATGCTTAGTTTCTTAGAACTCCATAGGTATGTAATAACAAAATAACTTACAAAAGAAATGGTTTTCTTATGGTATATTAGACCTGAAATGAACAGCTCAAGATTAGAAAGTGCTGCAAATATTTTTATCATACCCTTTCCTCATGATATTTTCAGATTTTGGTAACTCAGAAACTGAGAAACATTAAAAGTTTCTGGTGCTTACCTGAAATAAATCTCATTCTGACTGTCCTGATGCTTCAGGGTGACATCAGAGATACAGATGTCTTTGGATACTGATTAAGGTTAAATTCCACTTACTTTCTTCATTGCTTTTAATTAATTGTATAGGTCAATTATGATGCATAGCGTGTCAGCAGAATATAAAACTGTGTTGGCCTTATGTAAAGCATAAAGCACTGTATCAAGTACAATGGCTGTTTCAGACAAGCAGTGTGTACTGCAGTGCAAGTTCTGGGGTGTGAAGTTCATGGAAGTAACTGTCACTATGTGCACAGATGGTTGTACTGTGCATTCCCATGTTGGGAGTGAACTTCATTATTTCACTGAGTCATGATGCAGTCTGTGAGGCCATAACTTCCATGTATACAAATTCCACACAGATAGTTCAGTAACAGTACAGTCCTGTGAATATTCCTAGAGTACTTTATGACAATCAAAATAAAGAGGAGAGGGTGAATTTGCTGTTGGAATGCATCATCAAAGGACCAGCACATTAAAAATATGTTCTTCAAGACATTTTAATTTTCTTAGAACTGTAACCATTTGAAAATGCATTATTTTAGTATTTTAAGTTCAGCCTTTTTACATTGGGTTTCATTTATACTCAATTATAATGGTATGTTAAGCAAAGTCTCATCCTGTTCTTGGGCTTGGAACTCAACTGTCTGTACCTTTGCAGTGTTAGCACAGCAACACTAACTTTGGCTTTTGCCAGCTAACACTTTCCCAGGTAATTCTTGGGCATATTTCGGGAGCTGTCACAATGAGCAGCTTGCAAGTGATTATCCTGGCTTGAAGAGTGAGACAATTTAGTATCGTGGAGTGTACCATTCTCAGCCACCTAGTTCCCACTGCCAGGGAACAGTCCCAGGCATTTAGTTTACTAGTACAGGCAGAGCCTCTTAAGTAGGAGAGAAGACTCATTAATTTAACTGGATTGGAGCCAGAGTGCTCAGTCATTTGTATAATCAAATTCTAAAAAGAGGCAATAATATCTTAATTTATATTTTATTATTACTGATTGCTCATTAATATGTAATCAATCAATCCTTTGCATTTCTGAGTCAACTTTTACATGAATTTATTGCTCGCTAAGGAGTGCTGCAGGCAGTATTCCATATAAAAGTCCTGACATTGACAGTTGTGAATTCACAAAGTGGGTATCTGGTTCAAAACTGTCTTTCAGTTCCACCTGAACTCAACAGGATTTTGAGAAAATCTGTGGTAAACTGAGTGGACAAAAAAATGGCAGATGGGTTTCAATGTAAATAAATATATTGCCTAGGGACATTAGGGATGCATAATTTAATCCATACTTACATGATGCCAAAACCCAAAACTGTCACTTAAAACTCAAGAACTGCGCTGAAGTCATTAGCAGCAGTCCCAAAGCCAACAGAACACTGCCCATTATCAGAAAAGACACCAAGGACAAAACAGGGAACTACTTTTTGCAGCTGATTTTGCTCTGTGTAAAATCCTGAAATACACTGTCTCAAGTAATGAGTGTGGCTCTGGCCTCTGTCTCTCTCAAGAAGGACATGAGAGGCAAGAGAAGGGCACCAGAAATGTGAAAAAGAATAGCTGCCTCATAAGGAGAAACTGGACAGGTTGAGATTCTTGCATGTATACAGAGGAGTCTGAGAGGGTTGTGATCAAGGTTACAGAATCCCCAGATTCCGTCATAGCTGAAGCTGCTGGGGACTGATCAGCACTCCACCTGTAATACACTTCAAATAGTGGATGGGATTGTGTGATCTCCCTGTATTGCATCTTTTGCTGCCACCACAGGAAACAAAGTCTTGGGCTAGAGGGATCACTGGTCTGAGCAAGCTTAGTATTACGCTGTTAACATAATTCTAGCAAGATAGGTGTTTCATGAGGGCAGTTATTTGTCTTTACGTGCATCTGACTACAAACTCCTCCACTCAGGAATGTACCATACTATTACCATTTCTTTTGTTTTGAGTGTACTTTAAAATCCTTTAAACGTTTTTGTTGCCTTCTTAGATTGTATTTTTTTCTCACTCTCTTTAGTTTTCTTAGCTATTCTGATTTCTAGTCAGTATGGATTGATAATAGTCTACTCTTTTTTTCCCTCCTGTTTTTTGTGCAAAGCTTTTAAAGTTTCACTTTGTCATTAAACTACCAGTCTGCAACAAGTGAGATGGATCATTGCTGAGAGGTGTTTATTTCTCCATTGCCTACCATGGGAGCTTAGATAAACAGTTTAGACCAAAAAACCTAACTTTCAGGTGGCTAATGCTGGGTGAATGTAGTTGGCTTGCCTCAACTACATAAAATGCCACCTGGGATTGTGCACTGTTCGTTCACATAAGAATATATGTTTAACATCTTTGTCAACAATACGGACAGTGCACCCTCAACAAGTTTGCCAATGATGCCAAGCTGAGTGATGCAGCCAACACACTGGAGGGAAGGGATGCTATCCTGAGGGACCTTGACAAGCTTGAGAGGTAGGCCTGTGTGAACCTCATGAAGTTCAACAAGGCTGAGTGTGAGGTCCTGCGCCTGAGTCAGGGCAGTCCCAAGCACAAATGGAGAATGCGTGGAGAACGGATTGAGAGCAGCCCTGAGGAGAACTTGGGGGTGTTGCTTTATGAAAAGCTTAACATGACCCAGCAATGTGCGCTTGGAGCTCAGAAAGCCAGTTGTATCCTGGGCTGCATCAAAAGAAGTGTGGCCAGCAAAAATTGATGGAAGTGATTCTCCCCCTCTAGTCTGCTCTCATGAGACTCCACCTGGAGTGCTGTGTCCAGCTCTGGTTCCTCACCTTAAAAAGGACATGGACTTGCTGGAACAAATCCAGAGGATGGCCATGAACATGATCAGAGGGATGTGGCACCTCTACCATGAAGACAGTCTAAGAGAGTTGGACTTTTTCGTCCTGGAGAAGAGAAGGCTTAGTGTAGACCTTATAACACCTCCAGTACAGAGGAGATCTACAAGAGAGCTGGAGAGGGACTTTTTACAAGGGCATGTAATGATAGGACAAGGAGGAATGACTTTAAACTGAAAGAGGGCACATTTAGATTAGATATTGGGAAGAAATTCTTTACCGTGAAGGTGGTGAGACACTGGGATAGATTACTCAGAGAAGTTGTGGTTGCCCCATTCCGGGTAGTGTTCAAGGCCAGGTTGGATGAGGCTCTGAGCAACCCAGTCTAGTGGAAGATGTCCCTGCCCATGGCAGGGGTGTTGGAACTAGGTGATCTTTAAGGTCCCTTCCAACCCAAACCAATCTGTGCTTCTACGTAAGATGTAACTATGTTGTAACCACTGTTCCCTCACTAATCATCGACCTTCATTGATGTGGATAATTCAGATTATTTAGCATAAAATGGTGCTGTAATTTATTGGTGTATGAGAATTTTCTAATTTCCAGTTGCCAGTAGTTTTTAAAAGTTAAGTGTCTTGAATGTAGATTGCTACTATAACATAATTAAATCCTTTAAAAATACCATTCTCATTCAAGTTTGGTTAACTATTTGCATTGGGAGTACTGACTACTGCAAGACTGTCAAGGTACACTCTGGGAAAGACTTTTTAATCTTCACCTGTATCTTATGTTCTTTTTCTAAGTATCCTCTGCAGATTGCTGTCAAAGATGGCACTAGAGTCAAGAGGCCTTTGGTGTGGTTTGGTACACTTCTACTTTCCTTGTTAGGTAGGTGTCTGTAATGTCCTCTAATCATGAAGAATTTCTGATTTGTCTTCAAATCATTAGTAAACTACTGCTCTCTTCTCTTTGACACAATTCAATTAAATTTGTCTGTGACATGATGAATTTGTGTTTCTACTGGATTTGCCTTTCTGACACCTTTTTATTTTTCTAAGTAGTTTTATACCTTCTTATCTGTTCCGGTTAATCCTATCTGAAGTGATTGCCATACTGTATGAAGACCCCCATCTATAGTGTTGCACAGAGCCAAAACCCTAATTTTTTTCCCTGGTTGTGCAGCCCACCATTTGTCTCTGGTATTTTATTTCTTTCTTTGTTGTTGTTGTTGTTGTTGTTGTTTTTTCTTTGAGCCTGAAAAAGCCACCAAGAAGATCATTTAGAGTTTCCTTATTTTCAGTTCCTTCTGAAATCTTTTAAGTCTTCTATAATTGGTTCCAATGTATTCCATCTTCATCTGGGAGATAACAGATGACTTGCTTCATATTCTCCATTCAAACTTCATGTTCAACTTCCCACTTTTGGTCTATGGAGAATTAATTTCTTTTATTGTCTTCATTTCTTTCCAGCTCTTACTTCCTGATTTCATTAAGACTCTTCACACTGCATTTCTGACAACCATAGGGTCACTAAAAAGTACTTTACAAAAAGTATTAAAACTTTTGAAACCCTCAAGGCAGATGGGTCTCTTCTGAAACATTGTGATTTAGTCTGCAGAATCAGAATAAGGAAGCCCCTGGAGTGGAAGCAGGGGTTAGTCACTGTAAGAGAAAACCAAATCCAAACAGTTCTTTTAATGAGCACAGGAGGTTTAATGTATGTCTTCATTGCTTGAGATAACACAGTTTTACTTCTGAGCAGATCACGTAGCTTTTACTGGCTATGACCAAGAAGCAGCTCATTTTCTGGGAAGTATTTATGACAAAGAAAGTGAATTAATTTTATATATTGTATTTTATTTATGCATTAGATCTATGTGTTTATTTAATTTTGTCCTGAAAAGAGAAAACATTCGAACCTCTGATAATCTGTTACAGCAATCCCAATTCATAAATATGTAAAGCAAGAATGGTCACTTTCAGAGCAGCTTGATAAAGTCATTACAAGCTGGTACTTTAAGGATTCTCAAGGAAAAACCCTCTCAATATACTATCTATATTGGATAAATATCCAGTGGTAGCATCAGCACACCTGCACAGCCCAAAGGATTGCATCTTTAAGTCAAGCCATGAAACTGTTCTGAAAATGAAGCTGTATTCCAGAAAGCAGATCTTCAGTTGGCTCGGTGGATTACTTCCATTCTTCCATTAGGAAAACCAGAAAAATATTTTTGCTTTCTGGTGACAGCCTGTGTTCAGTAGTGTCTGAATTTGATACTTATTGGAAACAAAGGAAGATTATTGATTGTAGAGTTTGCCAGTAATTAATTAGACCAACAAACCATACACATTTGGTTTCTCTCAGTTCAGAGGAAATTATTTCTTCTTGGTTCATGCCATCAAGTTACAGTTGCTTGAGACTTCATGGAATAATACAGAGGACATCTCTTAGCCCAGTGGTGATCAGTTTATATTCTGAAACTTGTTATTAATTACACCTTTAAGTTAAAGGTAATGATGAAACGGGTCATAGTATTATCCAGCTTTCAAAAATATGTATGTCTGTCCAGCTGCGGTAACAACAGAGGGCAACAGACCTTCAGTTGCATAGATCCACAACTGAGGCTGAGCTATGACAATTTGTACAAGTCCAATTGCTGGATCCCTATGGTAGATTTTCCTCCTAACTTGTCTCATTGTTTCCTTGTTCCTGTGTAGGCAAACAGTACATAATAGATGTTGCTTTGAGAAAGAAATAATCATTGAAAAAACCCTGCATAAATATTTCCTAAAACGGACTTGTGTTTCTGCAGGATGGGAGCCTCAGAGGGCATTCATCCCTGTAGTCCCTCCATACCCACTCTCCATTAATAGTCTGGTACAGTGGAAAACATTATTTCCTATGACAATATTTATATTTTATAAATAAGTCAATAAGCCCAAAGTCAGCCCTCAGTTACAGTGGAGCTACTGTCTTAGATGAAATGTCAGTTGTGCTTGGATCCTTTAGGTCTTCTAAGTTTTACTCCACTGATTCGTGTCTGAATGCAATCCCCCTACCCCTCATTGTCAACATTATTCTGTCAGGATCAGCTGAAAGAAGTTTGCAAAAGCTTTTCCACTGGCTCTCAGCCAACATCCATTTTCAATTACACCTTCATGTCTTGTTAATGTCAATTGCTTTGCAAAGTTTAAGTCACTGTCTAGGTTGTCATACGCAAGTTCTTCACAAGGAAAGAGCTGGACCTCTGGAGTTCAATGAATATTGGGGATATAGCATGTTTTTGCTCATTATAAAAACTGATGCTGCTAGCATACTAGAATCTGAATGAATCAGGCTACATTGCTGCTTTGTGTCTTTTGTCTTTCTGCTGTATAGGAGAAATGGGGGACAAAGGACAGAAAGGCAGCATAGGACGGCATGGAAAAATTGGTCCTATTGGTTCAAAAGGTATGCTTAATTCAATTGTTTCTCCATTTGTGTTTCAGATTAAAATGTGTGATCATTTATGTTTGAGAAAATTTAGGGGCTTGAAAAATGGTTACCAAGTCTCAGAGCTTACCATGATGGGAATTTTCTCACACTGCAGTCAGCCAGGTTACTGTCATCTCTCAGCCAGCTACCTTTTCCTCTGACAGCAGTATATTTGGCCTTAAAGCAGCATGAGTGTCCTGGTTTGAGGCTAAATAAAGAACTTTGTTCACTGTCACATGAGAGTGGACAGTTAAGAGAAGCAGGTGGGAAGATGCACTGTACTTTGACAGACTTTTAAGAGCCAGAAGACTTGCTTTCTAATGTTGCCTACTCCATAATAGCTTCCTATGGGACTTTTGTTGAGTCATTTGGACCAATGTTTACCTAAGCATCTAGATTATGATTTTAAATTTGGGCATATCCAGCCCTTTTCCCTCTACAGCATCTGAATTTACTGGTTCTGTGAAGTTCATGAATGTCAAAAAGTGGATATTGGTATATATTCTTTGTGTTCAAATTTCATAGCTTTGTCAACCTTCGTTGTGGAACGAATAGGACAGAAAAATCTTTGGTTTTGCTTGAACATATCTCTACTTTCCACATTTGAATGTTACTAGAGAAAAAATGAACTATTGACAAAAAAAACTGCCTTAAATTTATATTCTTTTTCATGTCTTTAGGTGAAAAAGGAGATAATGGTGACATAGGACCACCGGGTCCTAATGGTGACCCAGGTAATCCATAACACACTTTGTGTATGTGAAAGACTTTGCAACATGCATGCATCATCACCAAAAATATGTCTGTTTACATACTGGGGGAAATAATGAATAATTTTTTGCATAGATACTATAATATTTCACTGTGATATTTTCAAATTTCTTATAATCATTGAAGTTGCAGCAGTTGCTAGATTTGTAGTGTATGTGTTACAACAGCGTCTCAGAGTTCTCAGAGATGTAACCTCTCCGGAAGTCTGGTGGGTACCAAAGTGCAAACTGTCCATATCATTCATCACCAGTGCAAAGGGACGTCTCTGCATATCCCACTCTGTCTTCCAGCCAACACAAAGGAGCAGTTTAGAAGCTCCTACCCCAGCATGGATTATTGTTATAGGACCAGGAGATTGTCAAGAATACAGATCACAAATGTGTAAGGTTGGAAGGGACCACAGTGGGTCATCTGGTCCAAGCTCCTGATCAGGCGGGGTCATCCTAGAGCATATGGCACAGGATTGTGTTCTTGAACACCTTCAGTGAGGGAGACTCCACGATCTCTCTAGGCAACTTGTTCCAGCGTTTGGTCACTGCACAGTAAAGAATTTCTTCCTCATATTCAGATGGAACTTCTTGTGCATCTGTTTCTACCAATTGCCTCTTGTCCTTGGCACCACCAAGAAGAGCCTGGCTCCATCCTCTTGGCTTCCCCCCCTTTGGATACTTATATATATTAATGAGGTATATAGGTCTTCCAGAGGTATATAGATCTACCAGAGAATCAGGTGAAAGCCTGACATAAGAAGTGTAAGCCTTACAAGAGCAGCAGGTTCAGATTTGACTGAATTCGTCCCTTCCTGGCAGAGTGCACTAGAGGCGCACCAATTAGTTTTCTCATGAGAATATCATTTGTCACTCTAATTCTTGAGCCAGAGTACGATATTCCTAGCCATCATGCACAGTTTTTCAGGGCAAGTACCCTGTGCTTAGACTGACTTAGACACCTAAGATGATTCATTGGGTAGTCAAATGCAGATTTTAATACTTACACACAGAAATGCAAACTGAAATTGATCCTCATGGAGATTTGTGCTCAAAGATGTAACAATTATCCTTTTAGTATTCACATTCAGATTAGCTTTGTCAAACCTATACCAATTTTGGTTAATAGATGGTTTTCTATTGTCTTGTTATATTGTAAGAATTACTGTAAATTCTGTATTTTCAAAAGTACAGAACTTCACTTCGCATCAAATGGTTGGAACTTTTGAATCTGCTGTGTTATGTTCCTTGTGAGGAACGCCAAACAGTGCATGTGCAGGTTTTTGCTGTGAAAGAAGTGCTCTGTGAGAAAACTGAAGAGAATAATTTTACTGAAAATGGGAAATTTTGACAAATGTTTTTAGTTGTCAAAGAAATTGTGTTTTTTTGCAGAGAATATCTATCTGTGTTTAGATTAGCACTAATCATGCAGGGCTGAAGCTTCATGGGAAGTGAGCTGAGCTGTTCTGCACAGGCCCATACCCCCTGAGAATCATATAATGGTGCAGGGTAGTGAAGGTTCTAATTTTCTGTCTGTTATTTGCAAGACAGCCCTCTCCAGGGCTGTCAGGCTGGGCCTTTTCATAGACTTGTTGAGATAACTATTGAAATTGGGTAGCTTTTTGATTTGGGTGTATCTGTATCATTTCACAGGCATCCCCTGTGAGTGCAGCCAGCTAAGGAAGGCTATTGGTGAAATGGATATCCAAGTAGCCCAGCTGACAACGGAACTAAAATTCATAAAAAATGGTAGGTTAATTTTATATAACTGTTTTTCTTTCTTGTTGCCTCATTTTACCGGTGCAATTGCTCGTAGAGAGTGTCACCGTTCCACATCTGATTTGTGAAGCTATTTTGGGGTGTACAGTGACTTGGTTTATAGAAATGCGAGTGCTCACTTTTCAGCACTGCCCTCCCCCGCAGCTGTTGCTGGTGTGCGTGAGACAGATAATAAGATATATCTGCTGGTGAAGGAAGAGAAGAGGTACAAGGAAGCCCAGCTCTACTGCCATGGAAGAGGAGGGACACTGAGCATGCCCAAGGATGAGACTGCCAACAGTCTGATTGCCTCGTACATCAACCAAGCCGGGCTCACCAGAGTCTTCATTGGGATAAACGACCTAGAGAAAGAGGGAAATTTTGTCTATTCCGACCGGTCACCCATGCAGACCTTCAACAAGTGGCGCAGCGGGGAGCCCAACAATGCTTACGATGAGGAGGACTGTGTGGAGATGGTGGCCTCTGGAGGGTGGAATGATGTTGCATGTCACATTACCATGTATTTTGTGTGTGAATTTGACAAAGAAAATGTCTAAGCTTCTCTACTCTTTCTTTATTTTAAGAAAAGGTTTTAAGCCAATTTTACAGGTTACTCCATGTTTATGAGTTCAAGTGGCATTTTGCAAGTATGTGGCACCAATGTTGTACAGCTGTAAATACAATTTAGGTATTTCAAATATCAGTATTTACCCTTCAGAAGGGAAGAGCAGTAATAAGACATAGCTTGTTTTTTTATTTTTCTGTAGAAAAATATATATATTTAGATAAAAATGTGGTTTGGGGCTAAATTTTGCCCTTGCAACAGTTAACAAATGTGATTACATGACTGTAAAGGGAAGGCAGAATTTGGCCTCTAGTTGTTAGAATGATTAGAATTAGGTTCCTGATATTCTTTTATCTTAGCAAAATTTGTAGTTATAAATGTTAATTGCTTGTAGTGCTACAGGGATATTTCAGCAACAAGACAAATATTTTGTATACTCCAGTTAATTAGTACAAATATTACTGTAGGTTTATTGGTTGTTAAAACTTTTTTTTTTAAAAACAGCCAAAGCAAGCCAAGAAGTAGGAAGTCCTACCAATTTTGTAATGTTTTTTTATTAAACTGTTCACAGATGTATGATGAGAAAGCATTTAAGTAAACTGGGTTTTAGTGGTGAAGGAGGACAAAGTCTAGAGAAAGGTGTCCCTGCCCACAGCAGAGGGTTAGAACTAGATAAACTCTAGGGTCCCTTCCAACCCGAACCATTCTATGATTCTATGATATGAAAGTTCTTATAATTTAGTACTTAAAGAGGGTTCCCATCCAGATGGTGTTTTGGAGTTGGCTAAAGGTAAAAGTAAGATTATGATTTTCTGCATTCCTTAGTTGAAAATGATTCAGTACATGAAGTATTTCAGACCCCAAATAATTTCTTAAAGTAAGCACGTTTCACATTAAGATGATCTTGGTGCATGCTGTTACAAAACAAGCAAAATACTAGCCCTCCACAATTTAAGGCAGATTTCATAAATAGAAAAAGAAGCTCATAGAAACGCTTTAGCTAGCAGTTCCTTTTGGCAGGAAAACAGCTTACATGTTTACAGAGCTTGTAAGGATGATCCCCTGAAAAGAAGAAAAGTTTCCAAAATTTTCCTGATCATGTATATAGCAGTAATAAGTAACTTTGCTCAAATAATTTATGTACCAAATTTACAATTGCATGTGATGGAAAATGTGATGTATATTTTAAAAAAAAACACAACAGCATCATATTTCACAAAGGAAATGATAAATTACTTTGGATCTTTCTAGAAGCCAGTTGCGTGCCATCTTATCTCATTGTTAGGCATAGGAAAATTGGCAAAATATCTGACTGCATTTCTTCAGAAATACCTTGCACAGTGCTTTAAGATTATTTTTAAGGTAAATGATCCTTTGCATAACATACTAATCAAAATATGTATCTGCTCATTATGGGAGATTGGTATACAAGATATCCACAGTGGATGTGGCATGTGGTCCCAGAGATTTTTCTACAAGGCAAAACCAACTCATATCAACTCTGCAGTGCTGTAGTATGTAAACAATCAATAGCCATACAATTCTGCTCATATTCACAGAGTCTGGCATTTGATTTGTCTACCTACGAGAACAAACCATTTTGCTTGCTATGTTTACTCTGTGAATTTGAATCTGTTATGTATATATGTTTGCTATTAATTTTGAAGATCATTATCCATACTATAGTATCCTATATTATTTGAATATCAGCCCAGCTCCAGAGCAATCACTCAAAATGAATGGGTCCTTTGATTGATTTACTTTCTTTTAATAAAGATAGGTATGATACCTATATGTTAGTCATTCTTCCAACTGCATATTGAAATATGTGAAATAACGTGAATCTGGTTCTACACTAATATTCAAAGGCTCTTTACAGAATTTTCAGGTAGTTAACAATGCCAGTAGAGCAATTTGTTTATAATTACACCTTTTGAATATCATGGTTGTTTCCTGCCTGCTGTAGAAATCCTCACAAATCATTTAAATTTCCAACATACTTTTGTCAAATTATTGTAGCTATATTCAGACAGCCTGAACCTGAGATACCTGGAGCTTCCTTGTTATGTGTGCTGAAGTTGCTGTTTATTTCTCACCTAGGTTTTGAAAGTCTCTGTTGTATTGTTCAGTTTCCTCAGAAAGATGAAAAGAGGCCTTTTAGAGAGGTGGGAAGCTTTTTGAGATGCCAGATGCTCCTATTACAGCTGGAAGTCACACATCATTATCATCATCCTCGATGTGGAGAGCGTTAAACAGTCTCAATTTCTATAAAAATTTAGGATAAAAAAATAAAGGCAATGGAAAAAATCATTTATTTCCACTAGTTTTCATGTTCTTCAGGATATAGTTTTGCAGTGCTTGATGTGTTGGATAGAAACTAAATTAGTTTCATTGTCAGATCCCTGTACAGTGGCTACAAAGCCCTTATTTCATCATTTGGGCAAGAGGAACAAGGGTACTGTGTAAAGTCTCTGGCTGTCCTGCAAGAAGCGATGATTGCACATCTGATATTTACCCCTTGGAGGAACTGGGCAAGAAATGATGGAGGGGTTGGAAATGAATGAGCCCTTCATCATTTCTTTCACTGTCTAGTTGCTGACCTCCATAGATGGGCATTACAATACAGGTTTTAATGCACATGGAAAATACCCCAAATAAAAGTACCTTCTAATTAATTTAATTTTTTTTAAACAATAGTTCCAAATTCCACTGAGACTAATGGAAACCTTACCAAGCATGTCAGCGGTCTTTGTGCGGGCTGAGCATTACATGCAACATTGATTTCTGCCTCCAGTTGAAGGCTGACAAGTTAGTTCTATTTGAGGTATTTTCCACGTGCATTAAAACCTGCATTTTAATATCATTACTCATTTTGTGTGACTCTGTGGAAGCCTTTGGAGCATGTCTGTCTGGGAAGAAGGTGTTTCTCAGACTGTTCTTATATACTCTATTTTTGATTGTATGATTTTTCCTGATAAATGCTTCCCCATAGCCCTTATTTATTTTATTCTTAAATAAAGGGCATTCTGGGGATTTTAAGAAGGTAACAATAGCAGTTGCTTTTTATAATATAATATAAGTATAATATAATAATAACCCACTCATGTGCTTGAATTACTTCACATAAAATGTGTATTTCATTCAACTATACACTGCACCTTCGGGGCCTCTGGTGGTCTAGTGGTTAGGGTGCAGGACTCTCACCACTGCGACCTGGGTTCCATTCCCAGCCCCCCGGGCAGATGGAGCTCGTCAGCCTTGTAAGGCAATCCATCTAAGAGAAGGTCACTCTAAACAAAAAACCTACGTCCTGGGGACCTCACTGCCACTGTCCAAGTTTGCTTGGCCCCGGCAGATGAACCTCAGGATTAAAGGGTGGGCTCAGTTCAGCGCAAGCTGTGTCTCACCTAAAAAATCCACTGCGCAGGCTCGAAGGGTTAATGACCTTTCCCAAATCTTTGCTCGCGAAGACTGGCCATTATTACACCGCACCTTTAGCTGCTAAGGCTGTGTTGTTGTATTACTGATGCCAGGGCCAGATGTGCAATCCTGCTCGAGGAGATGGCTTGGTAAAGGTGAAGCATTTAACTGAGTCCAAGGGGAGTCCCATTGCCAGTGAGAGCTCTGCTTTGCTGTGGACATCTCAGGAGAGCACTGGATCATGTCTAATCCTGATCACCATTCAGATTTGCCACTCCACATCCTGACTCCTTGGTGGAAGGTGCTGCTCCCAGTTGCCTTGTTATCCTGCTTAGCTCCTGGCTTGCCATCCCTCAAGAACCAGCTGCTCCTCACTGTGCTCTGACAGCTGAAATGATTATCCCTGGAGATATGGGTTTGTTACAGGTTTATTAGCATCAGAACTTCTCCCTGACTGTGAGTTTTACACAGTCTTATATCACAGAGAAGAACTGTAAAAAAATTAATATTCATACATGGGATATAGAGCATCCTTATTCATGTAAGTAAAATGGAGTTCTTCATTTTTCATAAGCTCAGGAAATGCCAGTTTAAATATGCATTACAAAATAGCAGCTGGTTGGACTTTTTTGTTACAGATTTTGATGAAAAGTGAAATAAGATATAATTAAAATAATTTTAATTGTAAAATACTATTAAGGTTTACAATGGACAAAGAGTTTTGAAGTAGACATTTTTCAAAATGTTTACTTTTGGAATATTTCAGAATTTAATTTCTGAGTTCTAAAACTTTATTTTTACCCATAAAGGGATTAGATTTTTATGTTATTGTTAATATGTTTTACATCATGTCAGTGACAGTGTTCAGTGTAATGCTTGAAAGATTTTACTTTATTCTTTATGTCTTGATTTCCAATGGGAACTAGTTATCTTTTTGAGGGTTCTGTTTGCCATACTGAAAAAGTTTGACGGAATTGCTTTCTTCTTCTGGGCTTGCTATGACACTGTTAATACTATGAATATACAGCAATAGATAGTTCAACCAACATTACAAAGAAGATATTCTTACTGATTATGAAAATTATTCGTTTAAGTATTATGCCATATAATTAGCAGTTTATGCACTATCATTAATGTCCAAATCAATCATTAAATAAGATAAATGCAAGACTTTTAAAACCTGAAAATCTTACAAATACACTTTCATCCTGAATTAAAACACAAAGATGTCAAAGTAACCAAATTTACAGTAAAGCAGAAACTCAAGGTTTCCCCTAGGTCTAGATCCAGATCTAGTGTTTGTGGGAAACTCAGTGACTTGTGATTATTATGGCTGAATCAAATCCTAGAGTAGAGAATTAGCCAACAATGCAATGATGTGCGACTTTCCCCCTTGTACTTTCTAAACTGCTTCCCCTTAGCCATTATTTCCAAGCATTCTTCTCACCTAGCTCTGTATATAAATGTGTGATGAGTTTGTCCCAAGGATCAGTCTCTTTTCACTGGAGATTCTGGTTTTCAATTTTTGGTTTGCCCTGTGGTGTCAACAGGTCCATGTCAATCAACATTTGCCACAGGTTATGGACCAAGAGGTGGGTATTTTGTCCGCAGCAGGTAGCTAGAAATGCTCCATGGAACCAGCTGCGATGGGAGAGGTATTGTGCAGCCCTGGAGCTGGCCACTCACCCATTCCCTGGGGTGCATATTCCTGGTCAGGGAGACACAGCCCAGCCTACCAAGAGAAGAACTGACCTTGTTATTGTGGGTAAAAAGAAATTAGAGTATTAAGATTTACTTAGGGAAAAAATTGTGCAGTGGAGGATTTTGGCTATTTACTTCATAGAGTAGCCGTGAGAAAGAACAGTTTGGTTTTAATTTTGCCATGTTAGAAGAGTACAAACTACGTGAATTGGGAGAGAAGGTGTTTGTGGAGAGGACAGCAGCTCTGCACTCAATGTGTTTTTCTGGACGTGAGTCTCCTCCTAGCCAGGAGTTTTTCAATTGGATGAGAAGAGGTGTCCTCTCAAGAGGGAGAGCATGAAATAGAAAAGGTGGGAGAAGCAATGAGTGGATGTGCAGTACTGGCAGTGAGTGGGATGCCCAAGAGGCGGAATGTAAATGTTACCTCCAGCCATTCTCCTGCTTCCTGCTAGGGAAATGTAATTATCTTGCCCTTTCCATCAAAATGTCTCACTATGGCTCTGGATGGATAGCTACAAAAATAGAAGGAGGTGACCAATTTAGCATAATGTCTGTGTTTAAATAAAGCCCAGTTTGGGTCTATGGCCAAATAATAGCATCCACTGCACTCTGGGTATATTAATGCCTGAAATCACAGGGGATATAATTAAGCACTGCTATTCAAAGGCTAGCTATGTAGTATTGATGAGCTTCTGGGTATTCTTTACATATAAAAGTGTGAATACTGCCAAGAATTCATCAACAAAAGGTCTGGTGTGCAGCTGAACGATACGTGTGTTACCATACTATCATCTAGTGGCAGTAAGAACCAAAATAAAGGAGCTGAGTTTTGCTTCTGCTTGTGTCAGTTGCTCTGTTATTGAGTGCAATCACTGATGCTGTATAGAACAACTGATTTTTCAGCTCCAAAGTCTTTAGTCAGCTTTCTTCTTCTCTTTGTGAAAAGATTATTTTGAATTATTACAAAGAGACGTGCACTGATTTTAAATCCAATTCTCAGGTGGAAGTTTTGACTAAGAAGTGAGAAGTGTGCCCAAATGAGCTCAATTATCATGCCTTGGAGTG